TCTTTGCTAAGCTGAAAAGTCCCAGTCTCTTTAGCCTCTCTTCATATGGGACCTGTTCCAAACCCCTCATCATTGTAGTTGCCCTCCCCTCTCCCACTTTCTCTCTTCCCCTCTCTCCCCTCCTTTTCCCAGTCTCCCCCAGTTTTGTTCAATAAAGACAGATTCCATTTTTGAACATAATTGTCCTTTATTGTGTCCATCAAGAAAAGGGGCTAGGGACGGGTAAGTGGAAGGAGGTGAGGGAGGAGTGGGGTACGAGCCCCCGATGGGGAGGACTGGGATGGCTCTGCAGGCTTCTGGGGGTGGAACCTCTCCTGCAGCCCCCCGATTGTCCCCTCTCCCCAGATGGCAGCCTGCGGCAAGTGCAGCCGAGTGCTGTGATGTGCCCAGTGTGGGTACTCCGGGCACTCCAAGCCAGGACTGGTTTGCAAGCAGGGCACCCCTGAAAACTGTCTGTCCGGGGTGGGGGTCGGGACCCTTTAAGCGCAGCCCTCGGCTAGCCTGAGACAGCATCTCCACGCTCTAAGTCCTCCTCTGATGCCCTGCTGGCACTGCTTCCGGCCATCCTTAAGCCTGGTTCAGGGTCCACTTAATGTGGACATGCTAGTTCGAATTAGCAAAACGCTAATTCGAACTAGTTTTTTAGTCTAGATCCACTAGTTTGAATTAGCTTAATTCGAATTAACTAATTCGAACTAAGTTAGTTCGAATTAACGTTGTAGTGTAGACGTACCCAGGGGGACACAGCAAACCATGAATCACTGGGGCGCCCAGGTGGCTGAGAGTGTTCGTTCCCTGGCACTGCCCCGCGCCCCACTCCCAGAAACAACCCCTGCTGGCAGTGTGTAGTATGTCCGGAACAGACCGAACCCTCCCATGCGGGGCACTTTCGCCTCCTCCCCCCATGTTTTCCTTGGGGTGGCCCATCCTCTCCTTGCAGCACCCCTCTCCTCCTGCCCAGTGGCCGGTGAGTGCCATACATGCATGAGCACTGCTCTTACGGTGGATCTCCCCATGCCGAACTAGTTCCCGACAGATTTGTAGCTGTCCACCATGGAGAGCTTCCACAGGGCAATGGCCACAGGCTTCTGCAGGGGGATGACGGGCCTCATGCGAATGTCCCATCGCCGCAGAGCAGGGGCGAGCCACTCGCAGAGCTTCAGGAAGGTGTCCTTCCTCATCCTAAAGTTCTGGGTCCACTGTCGGTCGTCCCAGCGCTCCAGGACGATGCGGTCCCACCAGTCGCTGCTGGTGTCCAGACGCCAGATGCGGTCCAGACGCCAGGTGCGGCGGGGCATGCTGGTATCCAGGCGCTGCTGCCGCTCCTCCACGACCCCCAGGGAGGCCAGGGGGAGAGGCAGGGGGCTGATGTGCACCAGGTGGTGCAAGGCAGCCTCCACCCATTGCTGGCAGGCTTGCAGCAGCAAGTCCAAAAACTGGAGCGGCATGCCCAGGGAGAGCCCTGGCTCCATGGTGCCAACTGCGGTGGCGTCCCCAGTGGGAAGCACTGACACAGGCAGGCGGAGAGAAAAATGCTTTGCTTCTTTCTTTTTACTAGAGTCAGGGTTCTATGGCAGACTGAACCATACTCATCACAGACTAGTCCATAATATGAGGGCGAAACCCTCTGTATCCCGATCTCCCTATCCAGGAACAGACTCTGTAGAGTTGTGGGGAGGGTTGGGAGGAACGTGGGCCCACCCACTACTCTGGGTTCCAGCTCAGGGACCCTAACACAGTGGCAACTGATAGGGTTTGTTCTACTCCCTGTCTGGCAACTTCTTCCCTGGGCCACTTCCCCAAAGGATCCTTCCCAGGTTCTTTCCTATGGTACCTGATTCTCCAACACTTTCTTCCTGCCTTGAAGGTCCCAGCTCTCAACCAAACTCCTCTCACTCTCAGCACTTTGGCTGGCTGGCTGGCTGGCTGGCTGGCTGGCTCGCTCGCTCGCTTCTCATGTGCCATCTAGCTAACAGAAGAGGAGCACTTTTAAAATCTTTTAAACTGGTTCTTGATTGGTTCCAGGTGGTCTAATTAGCCTGACTCCCTTTACTCCAAAAGGCTCCTAATTAACTGTAAGGGTACGTCTAGACTACAGGCTTTTGTCGACAGAAGTTTTGTCGACAGATACTGTCGACAAAGCTTCTGTCGACAAAGAGCATATAGACTACATTCAGTTCTGTCGACAAAGCAAGCTGACTTTCGACATGGTAGTGTAGACACAAAGGACAGTTTACATGCAATAACACCTTCTGTCAACAGAACTCTGTCGACAGAAGGCGTTATGCCAAGTAAAATGAGGTTTACCAGTATCGACAAAACTGCTGAGTTCTGTCGACGTTATGTCGACAGAACTCAGCGGTAGTGTAGACGCAGGTATAGTTTTGTCGACAAAAGTCCACTTTTGTCGACAAAACTCTGTAGTCTAGACACACCCTAAA